GAGAGAGAGAGAGAGCGAGAGAGTTATGCACACAAGTACCTGTACCCCACAGGCATACTTCCTGAGTTGCCCATACTTCACTGAGGTCCTTGAAGAAATCCCTGCGTTCCAATCCTAGCCGGAAGAGCGACTCGATAAGGAAAAGCAGAACGAAGCCGCAGTCCTGCCAGGAACGACCAATAGCTCAAAGCGAATTCAATCGTACGGACTAGTTTCCAACGATTTCAATCAGGCCAGATGTCGCCGGCATCATCATTGGCTACAGTATCACTAGCTTCGGCAGAATGCGCTGACAGATCCAGCTCAAACATGCCATTGCGTGTCCATAGCTTCGTCCGGGCTAGACTACAAACGGACACCTATCAGCCCCTATCACCTCCCCGGGCTGTCCACGACGCGGAGCATGTCAGGTTGCAGAGGCAGGTCTCCGTCGTTGAGACCCAACAGGATCGCCTTTCGCTGGCCCTCGACCTCCAGCTCCGCCAAAAGGACCTGCTACTGTCTGCGAGCAATTGCGGAATCCCGACTTGTAACCGCGCTGAGCTGATTCTGCCCAGGTGCCACATAATTAAGGAAGACTAGCGTGCAACCCACATAATCAGTGATGTCCTGCATCCAGTGGTATGTTTCGGCAACTGGAACAAGATGCACTGCCAGCTGCTAAGCATGATTTGAGCTCAGTATCCTTGATGCGGCGTCGTCGCCGTTGGTAAAGATCGACTTCTGTGGACTGCACGATAAGCGTCATGGCCGGTTCAACCATCGAGCCTAGGATGAACGAGGGGCACACACTTGATCCTTCATCGCTACTGAAGCAGGACTGGTTCAGGCAGTCGAACAGTATTGGCACTGCAAGCGGCTCGTCGAGGAAACAGGTCGTTTGGATCCTTCCCCAGGCGATGACGATTTGGTTTTCTCAGCGGCAAGGGCGTTAGCTTGCGCCGCACGCGCCATAGTTGAGGCCTGGGTGCCGCACTGGACTTCAAGCGGTGCCCCACACAATTACAAGGACAAGCTCACATTATTTCATATCCAGAGCATACCAACGGGTATAACATCACTGAATGTGCAGGACTTCTCACTTGACGCTAAGGGTCTAGAACGGCCAGACATCCTCCACTACTACCACGTATGTGAGACCGCAGCATCGGGCGCCCGTTGTGTTGCTTTGTGTCAGGCCCTACAGACCTTGCGTAATCGACACGTTATGTAGGTTTAATTTATAATAACATACCGCTGCCACGAGAGAGCAAGCCGCTCCTGGCACACTCTTTAGCACGCCATGATGGATGCTGGAAGATGCAATGAGCCTGCTGCCTCGAGTGACGTGGCCTTTACGCTTTGTACGTACGTTTGCCGTCCATACTCGTTTGTCCTGGAGCTGCTAGCATCTAGCATGGACTAGGCAGCCAAGCCGCGATGCTCATTTCTGTTTCGTTTGAAACGAGGCGTGCCTGCCCCCATTTGAGATTGTCGGTTGCAAGCACCAAGTCATCCTCATCCAGATCCTGACGCAGGAGGATCAAAACATGACATCCTCGCAGCTTCGCATCCAGCGCACCGCTCTGTACACAGGCCTCTGGAACAGGAGGCGGCGGAACTGGGTCTGCCTCTCCCGTCTCCGGAAGCTCGGGTTGAGATGTAGGCGGGATTGCAAGCCCGATGCCACCAAGATCTTGCTGGTGCATGTCCGGGAGCGCTGGATCCTTTCCTAGGTCTTGGGAAGTCTTGAAAGAGAGCTTCTGTGCGCTTCTGCTTGCGCTGGGCCTCTGACCGCCCAGGCTTCGAGCCTGGCATGCTATCCTGTCCAGCGCTCTCTTCAGCTCGAGGCGCTCCTCTTCACAGCACAGCATATAACGCACAAGAAGCATGAGCGAACGCCGACAATGTACGACAGGTCCTCCTCGGACCTCTGCAGAATGACCGAATGCTCAAAAGCAATGGCGTGCAGCAGGGCCTGTCAATTTTGAACTCGAACATGTTCAGCAAGAACCAATGCACAGTTTGAAGAGTCAGTGGTACTCATGTATATCTCGGACTGCACATCGCGATGTCTGACCGTTAACCGTTTAACTCATCTATCTCAAACGACCGTCAACAGTTTCTTAAATCTGTGAGGAACACCATGTCTGGCGCTTCAGGATTTCAAACAAAGTAACTACTCACATACCCTTTCAATGACATCACTCATCAGGACCCACCTGCAGGGTACTAGCATTCCCTGTTGCATCGGCTTGCCTCCATGCTTGCTACCGAGGCGTATGCATGGCTTGAGCACCACGACTGCAATCGTGAGATGGCTGGCTCGTGCTGGAGGCAGTGCAACATCTACTGCTGAGGAAGACTCAGTGAGTTCAATGCAAGAACTTGGAGATACATTCCAATTGCCTTCCCTCGCCAAGACCGCACAAATTCAACTCTGGTCTGCCGGTAATTACTGCCCACTGCATTTTGCAAGTTGGCAAGCACACTGGCATTCATAAAGCATCTGAAACTTGGAGAAGCCAGAGCATGTTGCCCCGGGCAATATTCGGGCTTAGGCCCTAGTCTAGGTTGGTAGGTGCGTTAATTATTCTTCTCAATCTTGAAAATGAAAGTGAGCAAATCTTGTCACGTCTTTCGGTCAGATTCCGAATGAGGCCCTCCGCGCGAGAAAACCTGGGATTTCGGCGATGCACATTGAACGGCTTTGTTCTTCGTTCGCTGAGCGTCGTTCTTGTGAAGCCAAGAAGCCCTGTTCGTTGTCCATGTCGAGTCTGAATGGCTTGAGATATGCTGCTTGAGACTTTTGCCGCCGCAACACTTCGGTTCTGGGCGACGGCGTGGGCGCAACCGATTTGGAAGCGGAGACATCTCGACCGCCCAATTGCTGTATGATGATGTTCACCTTCTTGTCCAAATTCTTCATGTCCGCGCTCATAGCTACTTGGTCGATTGCCTTGGATGACTTGCGTTGAAAAGAAAACATCTCAACATTTCCGCAACGCTTGAAGCAGTGAGCTGCTGCTTGGTCACACGAGCTGGCCCCTTGCATCTCATAATACCGTCTATGAACTCATCTAAAGTAACCTGAGCTTCAGGCAACAGTGTTTGCGGGCTAGTGTTGCAAACAAAGTAAGCGGCACCCACATGTCACTATGGCCGACGCTCAATCCCGAACACCATAGCTGAGCCGGTCGCTTCCCCATCCCCGTTGTCCAGGATGTGGAAAAGCGCGCGCCCCTCGTGCACATCGAGATCCATCGACTGCAAATAATCTTTGACCTCATCATTGGAGTTTGGCCGAAAGCTTTGCGGCATTGTCACGACAACAACTCACATCTGACTTTGACTACTGACTGAGACCATCGCGGCGCTCTGACTCAGTATCTCCGCAAGCTGCTCCTGTGAAGTGTGCGCTACCAAAAGCATCCGAAAGCCTAATCCTACAGTACTTGATGTTCTTGAGGTTCGAAGCCATTCACGTGGTATACACGTGTAGTAAGACACAGCTTGCGAAACACTTGTGTCTTGAGCCAATTGTCGTGGTCATGTGAAACGTTCGCACGATCTTCACCTACAGTGTTCATCTAGATGCATCATGAAAGTGCACGGGGTCCAATATTTTCAACTCCCCCCTTTAAGACAGCGTGGGGCATTACACTACTCCACTGGCCTTTGTTGGATTTCCCCGCGAGCCGTCTCGTGGGAGGGAAAGACATGGCGCTTTGGGTGGATTACCCTTTGGCGGAGCTTTGCTCTCGGCCTCCCCGCCTTTGCCTTCTCCTTTAGCCTTCGGCTTCTTGGGAAGTTTCTTTGGCTGACCACTTTTGGTGACACCTTTACACCTACCGATGCCTTTATCACCCTTGCGCTTCGGAGATTTGTCCTTATCCCCTTTTCCAGTTCCTTTGGGACTGTTTGGTGGAGCAGGAGCTGCGCGTGTCGGCGCTGCGGGTGCCGCTTTCGGCCGATTGTCCTTCTTTGGCGAAGTTGGGCTTTTAGCCACGGGAGTCACAAGTGCGTCCCTGATTGACTCTTCATTGGCCTCCTCCCGGAGCCCATCTAGGAGCTCTGCAAGTTGAGTGCATAACCAATTCAATGTCCGCTTGTTGCTCGGTGGGCTCGAATCCTTGATTTTGTCGATAGAGTCTAGAGCATCATCACCAACAAGATGAGGGGGACACTCCTTGCGATTGAGGACTTTCTAAGCATGATTGTCAGCTAGATGAAGGCAACACTCATTGCGATTCAAGGTTTTGTAGGGCTTCGTCGACAGACCAGTTGAAGGGACACTCCGTGCGATTCACACTGTCAGGAGCATCATGGCCAGACGAGATTAACGTGGCAATGCTTGCGATTCAACAGGACCATGCACGGTACAGATGGCTACGGCACTGCTTGCCATTGAAGGTTTTCTAGTGCATCATCATCCGAAATGATCGGGGGCACACTCCTCGCGAGCATCATCGCCAAAAAAGGTGCCGGGGACAACCTTGCGAATAAGGGTTTTCTGAAGCAGCCAGAAAAATCTATCACTCCTTGCGATTCAGCATTTTGTCGAGCATCATCGCCAAAACAGATGAGGGGGACACTCCTTGCGATTGAAGGGTTTTGGAGCATTATCGCGAGCAAAACGAGCATGGTGGTGCTCTAAACAATCTAAACCGGTGTGGGCGACCCGCATGGGGATCTAAACTAGGAACTCGGCTGCTGCCCTCGCTGCTCAGCTCGACTCGCAACACAGTACTCATGGCGGCATTGCGAGACAGAACGCTTCGCGGCTATCCAGGCACACCTTGTACGACACTATCTTCTGAAGCTTGGCGTATCGGATTTTCTTGCCAACATGGACCGCAGACTCTTGAACCTTCCTCTTAAACACCTTGAAAACTTCGCCGAACAGTCTAGAATTGAAGCCAATCCAACTCGGCCGCGGCTAAGGTTCGGGGTTGAAACAGTCGCTCGAGCTCCAAAGTTTGGATCTCTGAGTGTTCGAGATTTTCGGCTTTGCGAGGTTCGGGCTCTTCTGCATCTCCAAGAGCTCAAAAATTCGAACTCCACCAGCCTTCCAACTTCGATCTCAATCTCGATCTGTGAGCAGAGAAGGCATCGCCCTTTCTTTAAGGAGAAGCGATGTATGTAGACCATGTCCGCGACATGAAGCGGCCGCCAATGGCTTAACATAACTGGAACTTTCCATCTTCCGACATTTCAAACTCGCAACACAGGGACATCATTCGGATTCGTGACCCTGCAGTTTAAGCAGTGCTTTGTTTCATGAAAAATCACTTTTAGCTGTACACTTCGATCGGAACGAACACACTCAGTCCAGCAGTTTTGTTTTCGGCTTTGCGTCGTGCAAAGGGGTGCTGACGAGAGCGCATTTGCACGGGCACCGAAAGGCAGGAGCTGAAGAAGAAACGGTGCTCGACGAGTGCCGCTAAAATCAATGCCCACTGGCGTGATCCCCTCACTCTCATTTCTGGACACCATTCGGATTCGCAACCCGGCAGGTGAGCAGGGTCTCTCCTCGTTGATAAGGCCTGTGCCAGACTTGTCGATGGCACGGAATACACCCTCCAGCTTCGCAATATCCTCGTTCCGCTTCTTCAGGCGGGTTACCACCATGTGTTCCGCATCGTTTTGAACCACATCTAAGGTGTCCTGCCGGGCTCAAGGCTTGAAGATCCTGGGTCTGCTTGGCAGTACCTAACATGTCTCTCCGTACTCACATGCTCAATCCCGCCTTCAAAAAAATCGCGGAGATAACACGGATCAGCGCGAATACTATGATTGTGATGTACACAAGGAAGAACAACGCAAAGATGTTGTCAGCCTGCAGGACAAGATGATAAGATGCCCTCAAATCCCTTGAAGTGTCATCGCGGCTCGGTCACTCCGTCATAAAATTTTGGACACTGCTTATGCCACTTTAGCTGGATGGTGGCAGCGGTGATGACGTCATTGGCCAAGTGAGCCAGGGTGTTGAAGGGCAAACAGATCATGGCCCTGAACACCTGAACTCTTATCACGGTGTACAGACCAAGCAGCTTTCTCCATGACCGGCCGCGCATTCGTGGGCCAGTTCCCTGCGCAGGCGCTTTGACAAGGCAATCTGCTGGCTGACTGCTAGGCCTGTTGCATCCGGAGCTTCACTACCGCAGTGCAAACGGCTGCTCACATAGAATCTCTACATGACTGTCAACTGCCGCTCCTGCGAAAGTCACTTCATAAAGTGTCCATGATGACCTCTGCGAGGTACCTTGCGGTTGTGGCCAACTAGACCAACAGAACCAGGCACCTTACCACGTCCTTCATCGGCTTACCCTTTTGCCCGCATTTTCATGGGTTTACTACTCGATTGCTCTCCTTGTGCCCTTGTCCTAGCTGGTCCTAGCTGCCCGCTAAGCGCTCTCCTGGCCCTTGTCCTAGCTGCCCTAGCCCTCTGCTAGCTCTCTTGTGTTTCAGGGTGCCATAGTGATCCCACAGCCACTGCCGGTCTTCGTGCTCGAGAGTGTCATCCAGAATGTACACTTGCAATGTGTTCCCCAACGTCAGCGCTCCCATGGCCACAAAGACTGCGAGAAGGGCCATGGACCAGAAAAGTGACGGAAGGAAACAGCGACAGGCTTTGACGAGCACTCGGAGCCCGCGCACGAAGCGGAAGCTCCGCAAGATTCGGACAGCCCGAAGGGATTTCAGAGCTCGGGTCAGCTTCAGTAGGGCGATGTCCTGTGAGTCCACACAGCCCCGCTCCCTTCCCGAGCCCAGCATCACCAAGGGCCTCAGCCTAAACTGCCAGTTGAGCTGTCCTCATCCCGCACGGCACCTCCAGTGAAAGGCCTGCTGATGATCATGTCGATCAGGCCGAGCAGCACCAAGACACCATCAAAGATGTTCGCTAGGTCCTTCAGGGCGACATGCCAATCGTGGCTCGGCACTGTTCATGGCAACTTCGTTTTGCTGTTCAAGATGATGTCTTCCCCTGGATCCTAGTGGAATTGAGTCCTTTGGTGAAGAGTTTGGAAGGGAAGTTGGGAGGCCCCCCTTCAGTGGGGAAAAGACACAAAGCCTCTTTGGGGCGGGGGTAGACTCCAAGTTCCGCTGTAGAGACCTACAAAGCCAAGCCCAGGCCCAGCTCCGGTCCAAGCAGAACTTTAGTCGCTCGAAGAGCAGCCGAAAAACCAACTCCACCAGGAAAACGAGGACGAAGACGGCATCGATGCCACGCAATGCAGGGAGGTAGGCTCTCAAATCCTCGCCAGAGGGCAAGTCAATTTCAAAGGCAATGGATCGACCTTCGACTTCCAGCTCTGCGATTAAAACCAGGGAATTGAGGAGAACCATTACTCCGGCAACATAGTCGATGTATCGCTTCACCAATCGGACGAAGTTGGCACGGAAAGAGAGAGGCTGCATTGCATCTTGCAACAAATTCTGCACATCATGGGTCACCTGCGATTTCCGCCGTGGCCGGCTGGCGGTTGAGGAAGCGTTCGCCGACATCGTCTGTTCCATTGGATCCTCGTCGACGACGCTGATGTCCCAAGTATCATCGGCAGCGTTGCCATCTTCCGGTATGGAAGGAGGAGGAGGAACAGGATCAACAGTTTCCGACACGTCCGGCTGCACAGTTCGAAGGCCTTTGCCAACGTTCAGCCCGATCTCCAAAGGCGGAGCAAGGGCGGGAACTGATCTGAGGGCATGTCCGGATGCTGCAGGAAGGCTTCCTTAGCACTCGCACTCCCCCCATGAAAGGACTATGCACAGCTGAGTTGCTCTTGGCTGGTTGCTCATTGCTACCATGGCAACGCGGCATGCCCTAATTTCAAACTCCACACATCCACCATGAAGTAAATAGGCGAGGAGTGCTGCGACTCAACACCAACACTGCAAGTTCGAACGGGTTCCAACGAAACATTTCTCGACCGGTCTCTTTCTGCTTTCTTTTGCCCGGTCCGTTTCCCTGACTGAGGGCCAGGCCCGCGTAAGAGTCCAGTCTCCCCCATGCAGACTCCAGGGCTGCGCGCCAGGATTCATGTTCCTTCAACTGGGTCTAAACGCTTTCCACCCCGTGCTCCCTCTCCTAATTCCTATGAGTCCTACTCCCGTTCCGGCTCCTGCTACCTTCTGAACCCAGGCTCGGATCCGGAAGCTGCTTCTACTACTCGCACTACTGCCACTACTCCGTGATATCATCATAAACATTGCCCTTCTTTTTGCAATGGTTGTTACAGATGGCATTGCGACTCAAGACGGCCTTTAGTCGCTCTGAGTCCTCATCTGCACGCAGTAGCAGTAGGCGCTGCTCCTCTGAAAAGGCATGTATCAAGTCCTGACAGGGCATCGTAACACTCATGAGCTTGTCAACAACCATGATCTACGAAATTCGGTTGCTGATGCAAGAGCCGCAAACAATACCAATCAAGAACTGACGGAAGTACCTCTACTTGTGATGACGGCAAAGATGCTGGTAACAAGGCAATGCGAGCACAAGGGTGCATGTGCTACATGTCTGGCATTTGGAGGAATTTCTGATGGGAGCGACGCTCGTGGAGACTATGTGTTGTGGACTTGCCGCATCGTCCTGAAAGCGAGCATCGGCGGCCATAGTTTCATGGGAAGCCATGTTTTAAACCCTGCTTGCAGCTGTGATGTGGCTGAACGTGCCTTTGGGGCTTTAGGACGTGCCTGAAATCGCAAGCCGATTCGACCCCGTCTGAGCTTGAAATCGCAGCTCGAAGCAGTTCATGCCAAGGCCGCCCTTCCCCCAAGTGATCTCGGAGCTAACGACTTCTTGGATTCTTGATCTTGGATAAAAAAAAGGAAGGCAAAGCAAATCTTGCAAGACATTCCGCAGCGAGTAAGCTTCCGACTCGTTTGATCTTGCCACAGTCCGGGTGCGCTCGCAAAGCTCTGTGCAGGTTGGCTCTGACCACCTCAGAAGGAGGCATACACAGCCCACACAAAACTCTGCTGAAATGAAGAGGCAGGTCCCCCAAATTAGAGATGCTCTTCCTTCCAAGTCTTCCAGGCATGACACAGTATCGGACTTGCTAGAGGAACTGCGGCAAGCGGCCGGGGGCGGCAGGCATGAACTGGAGAGGACGGATCCTCACCCAGACCAGGCACTGCAGGCTCCAGGAGCAAGCGGACCAGCCTTCCTTCTTCTGCCAAGGGCTATTGCCTGGATTCCTTCGTTCTTTAGTTCCTTCCTGTCATCCTTCGTTCGGTGGCTTCTCTCTTGGTCGTCGGTCAGGCTGAGGGACCAACGCAGGCCGGTTCGCATCAATGAAAGACCAAGGCTAGCGCGCACTCCAATCCGTCAGAACGCAGTCCACAGGAGAGCACCTGTGGTGCAGGGCTCAGTACGGGGCTGCCCCCTCCGACATCCCAGCCAGCCGCTGCTAGCCAAGGGCCAGGCTCCACTCGGCACTTTGTACCTGAGCGCCCGCGCTCTGACGACACGCTGGCGATGCAAAAAAGACTCCCAGCACACCCAGCACAGAAAAAGTCCTCAGCTAGGGACTGCTGTCGCACGTCGATTGGTAGAACTGCTCACCGGAGCAGGGCCTCGACAGCAAGCTCTTTCAACGTTCGACTTTCTCACTCGCTGTGGGAGTCTGAGAGTGCGGCATGGACTCGTCGCCTTTTGCCAGTGGCCGGTTTTCCAAAGAAAGGCACATCCACCTCAGACGTGCCGCACTGGTTGAGAGTCGGTCTCCGAGGCTGGGGCCGGAACTTGTCGGCTCCGTCTGAGCCGGCGCTGGCAATCGGTCCTGCTCCAGGCGTCCGTGGCACTCTGTAAAAATCTCCAGTCTCCAGGCTCGAGTGCCGGTCCTCGCCCTGTGCCCGCGATGCAGGGAGTGTCCAGCCATCCGCCTGAAACGAGGTGCACACGAGGTCTTCTCGCTCTGAGGTTCAGGGCCAAACTCAAGGCCTGGTACATCCTGCTTCCAGATCTCGGTGTTCGGATCCACGAGGACGAAGCAACGGCGAGCTGGCCCACAGAGCGTCTCATGACTTCAACATGTGCAGCATGGACGCTCCACCAAGAGACGCCGTTGTTTGATCACATGCAGGCGCAGCGACGCCCCGTGCAACCCACAAGCAGAGTTGATTTTTCCGACTCATGCGCAAAGAATGCGCCCTGTGCTGCATCACCTCTACTGTCTCGTCAAAAACCTGCAGGTGTTTGGAACCTGTCTCTGGATCGATCGGAAGCACCTGTAAAATTGCACTCGTGCGACTGTGCCCATGTGCCACTAAGTACTAACTAACCAGCATGCATCGACCCCAGGAACATGCCACTTTTCGGGTACAAGTCGACCCCGGCCAATACAGCGAAGTTCACTGACGCCTTCCTACAGCTGAAGTGTAGTATGGCCTCCGAACTTGACGACGCGGCTTTGGTCGAACATGGCCTCAACATTGCTTGGCTCTTCGAGCGGCAGAAGCGGAGCCGATGACTTCATAGCTAATTACCATAGTTGCAGCACATCTCAGCTCTCCGCACCCTGGACTCCATCCACGTCTCGGGCGAAGCGATGGAGTCATGACACAATACGACACCACAGCACAGGCTTCCCCTTCACTAAGCTCGCAGACTTTCCAAATTGTGGAGCACAGTTCGGCACTCGTCCTCAGAAATCGCCTGAACCGGGCACCCGCCTCGGACATGGTGACCCTTCCATCACCAAGACGGACCAAGGACAAACGTCTGAGCTCCCATCTGTAGCTCTCGCCTCGGGCGTCTCGGCCTCAGGTGCCACGACTCCCGAATGACAACCTATGTGATCTGTAAGAGTTTTGTTCAGCAGTCAAGACGGGTGTAAACTGGTGTGCCGGAAAACTTTTTGCGTGGAGCTTTAGAAGCAAGGCAACTCGACCGATTCCTTTGCAACAATGGACAACCAAAGGGTTGGGTCTCAGCGCAGCTTGGCACAACCGCGTGAGCTGCAAGGGGCAGCAGCAATTGCGACCTCTACTCACACATTGAAGCATTAGCCCCTACATTCTGCATCGCATTCCATCGGACAGCAACCGACAGTGCAGCGCGATGCAGTGAGACAATATGATCATGTAATCATGTACGTTTCGCAAGCACAAGTTGAAAGGGATCCAAAGCTGAGTCCATGCACAGAGCCCTCCACGATCACCGATGCGTTCAACCTGTGCTGGAGATGATGTTGCACACTTCACACCCTTGCAAGCTTCCTTAGCTGCGCCTCGAAGCGGGGTTCCGTCGTGGTGAGGACCAAATGACGTTGCAGAAGCCTGTCGCTCGTCGTGGGCGCAGTGCGCATGGCCAAGAACAGGCCACCGGAAAATCGCAAAGCCTCGTCGACGGCCCGCACTGCGCAGAACAGCCTCCCATTTCCTGGCCAATGCTTCCCCAATCTGAGCGCTTGCCCCGTTCGCAATCTGTCAAGTTCCCTTTCACGCCAGCCTGCCAAGTGCTCCAGGTACAATAATGCTCCAAGCAGGCACTTTTGCAGTAGCCTCAGGTCCAATTCAGACCGGAGTCAACCGGAGTTCAGAATCTGGTTTCCGGATTTCACGAGCTGCGCGCCCACTTCTTTTGCAGCCTGTGCGGGACAAGTGACATGACACCACGTTTGAACAGCCTCAAAAGCTCTTCAGCCACGCCTGGGCATCACACTTCTGGCCGCAATGGTTCGCTTGCCTGATGACCCCGCGGTGTCGATACCTGTGTGGTGGTGCCGAGCTCGATTGCAAGACCTCTCTTGCTCAGGCTGCCTTTGGTGCCCGCAGTGCGAACAGTCGCTCCACATGGACCACTCGCCTCATCAGCAATGCTCTTCACCCGGGCACACGGACGCATGGATCACGAAAGAGCCATACGAAGCGAAACTGAGCAGCACGCTCCAACGGCAGTCAATGCATGTCATATGGCAAGCCTTTGTTCCATTCTCTTCGGGTGGGGTAGATAACGCAAGGTCTACGCCTACAAAGCTCGCTACAGGTGTCCTGCCTGCGTGTTGCAGGGCTCCACCTGCCAGAGTCTGTCCGCATCTCCCATGTCCCGGTCATGTCCCAGAGTCCCAAGTCTGGGAACTGGCCTCCTCCGTTTCATCGTCACACGGTGGCCCATCGTCCTGCAGCTCCAGGGCTCTAAGCATCTGGCTCGAGTCAGGTCACACAAGGCCGACTCACTTGAATGGGCTTCGGACGGCTGCTGGAATCAAGATGGACCGCGATCGCCTTGAATTGAAAGGTCACGTTGACGTCCATAAAAAAGGTGGTGCCGAGCGCACCCGAGGGCCAGACTTTCGCTCGCCGGTCCCACAGCTGTGTGAGCAAATCTGCCACTCCTGGCCACTCTTTCGCGACACTGATCTCTGCTGCACTGCCGAGGCCATGCAGAATGATCAACTTGTTTGGGGCACCTCCCAGTCTCCAATCTGGCATCTCCTCTAACAATGACAAACGCAGGAACACGTCTGTCGACAAATGCCATCTCACGCAGCTTTCCTGGCTGGGTCGGGCCGGCAGTCCGCTGGCACCGCCTGGACGATGCTGGGGGCCGGGTACACTCCGACTCCAAGAGCTAAGCTAAGACAACAGGACAACTAAGGGTCTCGGTCTCAGCACCTCCCCGGGGCCCGGAGCACATGGCCTCGACCACTCAACGACAGCTCTTCCGAAGCTCAAGCTTCAGCCACTTCCCTCACTGCAGCTCTCAGACGAGTCGCGGATCCTTTGTGAAACACGGTGCTAGCATGGCACCAGGAACATTGCACCAATGTCTTCTTCTGCGGCCGTCTGATCAAATTGGTAACTAGAACTTTAGCTGAACCCTTGCGCTGCACAAGTGATTGTGATAGTGCTGTGCTGCACCCGTGAAACATCAGACAGCAGCATGGGAACGGGTGCCACGTGTTGTGGACCACTGAAGGGTACAAGAAACATTGACCATCCTCAGCACTCTTTAGCAGTTTTGGCAAACAAAGCATCGAGTGCAATTCAATACAGCTTCCGTCAGGACACTGCAGAGAGCAGCGGTTGAGACAGAGACAGCTCAGTACCTTTGGTCGGGACATCGTCCGCGTCTGGCGAGTCGTCTGGCGTGTCATCCGATCTTGCGGGCGATTTCGGCTCAGGCGGCACCGGAATAGCCAGGGCGAGGGAGGGCTGTGAAGGTTGGGATTGCATGGGGTCGCTGTGAGGCTTTGCCTGCGCCGGCCTCGACTCTGCAGGCCCCGGTACTTCTGGCTTCCCGGGCTTTCCGGGCTTCGGCTTGGAGGCTTCCCTTGCAGCCTCAAGCATGCCTGGCGGCAGCACGTCCGTGGTGATAATCCACTTTGCCCACTGTCGAAATGAGAAGGTCGATGGCCTCTTGACAGAGCCGCAAAAGCCTCCGCCGGGCTTCTTCTTCGGCTTGGCTTTTGCCTTGGCTTTGGCCTTTGCTTTCGTCTCCGCTTTGGGAGGATCGCCTTCCTTGTCTGCTGGTCCTGGCTTCGCCTCTTCCTGAAACCCGAAAGACCTCTCCTCCTTCGGTTGGCGGCCGCACAAACCTCCTCGCTTCGCCGCCTTCTTCGGCTGAGGCATCTCCAACTTGCCAGTACCAGTTTCTGCGAGCTTGCTGGAAGTACTGGCTTCGTGCTCAACGCTGCCGCTGACGCTGCCTTCCTTCTGAGCTGCACCTTCCCTGTCTGCCTCATCCGTGGTATCCTTGCGCTCGTCCTTCTCTCCCTCTTTCGCCCGTGTTTCCAGCTCCGGCAGCTCCGCCAGCTCCTCCTCCTCCTCCTCCGAATCTTGATTGGCGAATTCACCCAAGGCTTGCTTGGCTATCCGCCGGATCTCTGTAAACTTGCGGCGCTCGTCGAGCTTCCGAAATTCCTTCTTCTCCACATCAGAGAAGCTCGCACTCGACTCCTCCAGGGATAGGAATGCATCGATGCTCCGGACCAAGTCCTCCTCGCCTACCCGATCATCACCGTCGGCGTCGAAGAAACAGAACAGGAGCTCTAGCAGCTCTGTCTCGGAGCTCCATCGCAGGGCGGAAGACAAACACAGCACCTCGAAGCAGGTCAGCTGAGGCTTCGATCGAGGTTCGCCCAAGTTTCGCTGCACACGGGCCAAGTGATAGAGCCGCCGCGAGATCTTTGATGGCAAGCGGAGGTTCAGCTGCAAAAGTTCCATGGCATTTTCCCTCAAGTAGCCACCTTCATCTTTCACATCTCCTAGGCTCCGCCGAAGGTCCTGACCGTCTCCAGCACGGTCAAAGACCGGGTCGCTAAGATCAGCCTGCCACTGCTCCCAGGGCGCCACCTCCTCGAAGGCACGGCCGTCGGAATCCGAGGCTGCGGCCGCTGTGGCCGGGCCCAAGCCGGGGCCCAGGCCCAGCAGCAGCCGGCGCCTTCGACGCAGCGCCGCGGCCCCTGGCGGTGCCTCGAAGCCAGCTTTGGCTTTGGCTCCCTTCGAGGCACCGCTGCCCATGGCAACGGAAACGCTGACAGGCGCAGGCACAGTGTCACGACTTCTCGGCTTTCACTGCTCTAAGCGCTTCGCTGCATGCTCATGGAAGTCTCTCTTGCTCTCTGCTAATGCTGTGCTAATGCTGTGCTATGCTGTGCTATGCTCTGCTCGTCCCGGCTGCTCCATAGGTCCGTCTCACGTACATGGCTGGGAAAGTGCGAGAACTTGGCAAACCGGAGCACGAAACGCTCGACAGTCGTTCGACAGACACCCCAATGGAAGGGGAAGTCTGAGGTATCAGCTCCACGTCCTTCAGCGACGACTCGGAGCACGGACGGCCTGGAAATCCATCATCCTCTTCGATTCTATGGCGCCCCCACCCCCAACTGCACCATGTCCGCCCCACCGTTGCCAGAAGCGTACTGCTCCACCCGGCGATGGCCTCAGATAGCACAATTAGTACCTCGGACACTCGGGTTGGTGCAAGCACCCATGCTCAGGTGGCAGCGCTCTCGCACACCGAAGCATTTACAACCTGGCTGCCGCAGCACTTCTAGCAGCTCACCGCAAACACCATTTTGCACCACGATGCACCACGCAAGTCATTTCTGAGCACCTTTGTCTGCAGGCTGTGTGCCCAGGGGCGCATCATCGGCAGAATGCTCTGCAGCCGCTTGCGCCGCCATCACTCCAAACAGAGCTTCGAATCATGGCCACGGAGCATTGCGCCCCCTTGTTGGCATCCTTGTATAGGAATCCCATACTGGCGTGCTTGTCCTAACTCATTCGCCCTGGCACGGTCGCTGCATGGGAAGCAGGATGGCGGGTACTTGAAGCCTGTGGCTGCCAGGGTTCAGGTTGCACCAGGGGGGGGTATCGACGTTTCCCAGATTTCAGATTTATCCGCGAAGGCGTCGGCATCCAGTCTGGCAGCGATCAAGAGTTCACATCTTGCAGCCACCTGTCTCCTGCTCGGAGTCAAGTTTTTGATTCTGCCAGCTTTTGCATGACTGCATGGCAGTCGCCGCCGTGCTCCCCAGGCCCCCACGTTACGACAGTTGCATCCCCGCGAACAGCAGCAAAAGCATGCTGAGATGGGCATATCATCCGAATGTCATGCAACTGCTCCTTCACCTTGCTGCTGTTGCCGCCCCGATCCGCATGACCCCATGTCACGACTCCTCCATCTGCACGGATCGCTGCGAATGCTTGCTGAGAGGCACACACCTCCTGTATATCTTGCAGTTGGGTCTGAACGGCGCTGCTGTCACCCCCACAGTCCACATCGCCCCAGGTAACCACTGAGCCACTCAGCCTAATCGCAGCGAAGGCACGCGCAGAAGCACAAACTTTGAGCACGTCCACCAACTCATCTTGGACCTGGAGCACTGGAGAAGACCAAACCAAGTACAGTGCGCTGATATAACTGTGCAGTATCCCGGCACGTCTGCTCCCCTGCTCCTGGCTTTAGGTGCCCGAACATCTGAACCCGACAAAGCTGTCTAGTTTTGACGACCACCAAGATCCACAAAGCGTGCGACGCCCTAAAACGTCACAAAGGTCCCAGTTGCCAGTTACCAGTTTTAGGGGCTTCTACAAGTAGCTTCAGTTCAATTCAATGCCAGCGCAAGGCTTCCATCCTCTGTGCTTGCACACAAGCTTTCTCAAGCTTGTACATGCTTGTCACTTATATATCTTTAAAGCAGGTGGCAGAGGCACAGCCCATGGCCAGTGGCCTCTGGCTTCCAAGTTAGCTAACGACAAGGGCGGAAGCGGGCAGGTGTAGGTGTGTTTGTCAAGTTAGCGCCAAGTGCAGGGAGTCGGGGGCCACACCTTGCTAGAGTCGCCGCCGAAGTCGACGTGGCCCCAGGTGATGACACGGCCGTCTGCCCGGATGGCAGCAAAGGCTGCCAGGGACGCTTTGACGTCTTTCACTTCCCGGAGCTGATCCGACACGGTGGCAGAGTCCCCGCCATGGGTCCCGTCGCCCCAGGTCACCACTCGGCCGTCTCCTCGGACAGCAGCGAAGGCATCTATGGTGGCCGCGAGGCTCCGGACGTCAACGAGACGGTCCCGAACCGAAGCACTGTCTCCGCCATAGTCACCGTAGTCTGCATTGCCCCAAGTCACCACCGTCCGATCTGCCCGGATGGCTGCGAAAGCCCTCAAAGAAGCACAGATGGACCTCACGTCCTGCAGCTCCTGCTGAACGGCAGCACTGTCACCGCCACAGCCTTTGTCCCCCCACGTAATGACTGTCCCATCTGTCCGGATAGCTGCAAAAGCTCTTTGGGAGGCGACTATGTCCTGAATGCTGTGCATTTCCTGGCTCACAAGATTTCAGTGAGCCCAATGGTCGAAGATACCTAAAACATAATATGCAAAGGGTGCATGATAAGTTTTACTGCGGATTATGGCTCGTGCTATTTTCTCCTCTCGGTTCGGAAAATACTTCACTTATTTCGAACATCAGAACCGAAAAACACAACGCACACAAGGAGGCCTTCTTGATTTTGCTGCTGTCACCACCACAATAAGCAGGACCCCAGGTCACGACAGTGAGGTCACCGCGAAGTGCTGCAAAGGCATGCTGCGAGGCGGAGATTTCACGGACATCCAGGAGCTCTTCTTGGACAGTGCTGCAGTCGCCTCCTCGGTCAGAACATCCCCATGTGACAACTTGACCATCTGCGCAGATGGCTGCGAAGGCCTGCTGGGAGGCACGGATCTTTTGGACGTCACGAAGCTGCCATCGGACTTGGGAGCAATCGCCGCCGTAGGCGGCATCTCCCCAGGTCACCTGGAGGAAGAGTGCGGGTGCCCGATCACTTCCGTCTTTTATTTTGGGTTCACTTGCGTCTTGCTTTTAGGGGTCGCTTCTGTCTTTTATTCTGGTGTCGCTTCTGTCTTTTTCCTTGTTCGGAAGCAACAGTCTCGAACGACAGGTGCCTTGGTTGGACCTCACCCCGCTCGGTTTCAGGCCCGGTAAATGCACCTGACAACGCCTTTAAATCTCGGAACCAAACAAACAAAAACCTTCTCCTTTTAGGGTTTACTCCTTTTGGGGTGTGTCATTAAGGTCTCGGTCTGGGCTTATACTCTTGGTAGGGTAGCGGCCTGGGCCTGGGTTTACCCCTTTTCGGGTTTCGGCTTTCTTGCAAGCTTACCTTCCACTTCTTTTAGAGCTTCGGAGTCGGTTTGATATTTCCGTTCAAATTTCAGGGATTCGGCGTCGGCCTTCTTTCCTATTTCTTTCATTAGGGTTTCGTTCTGGGGCTTCGCTTTGGGTTTACTCCTTTTAGTGTCTGGACCTTCTTTCAGTAGGGTTTCGATCTGGGTTTACTCCTTTTAGGGCTTCGCTGTGGATTTATTTTTTGTGGGTTTCGGGGTCCGTTTACTCTGTTAAGGACAGGGCTTTGTTTCAATAGGATTTCGGTCTCGGTTTACTCCTTTTAGGGCCTCGTTCTGGGTTTACTTTTCAGGCTTCGGCCGGGGTTTACCCCTTTTAGGCTTCCTTGCAAGCTTACGCTTTATTTGTTTTAAGGTTTCGGGGTCGGGTTATGACTCCGTTTAGGTTTCAGGGATTCGGCGTCTGCCTTCTTTCCTTAGGATTTCGAATTGGGTTTACTCCTTTTAGAGCGAAGTTCGTTCTGACTAGCGGATGTGCGGGAAAAAGCACACTATAACTATCACATGTCCCAACGTACCAAATGGTGCGACATTCAACCAGAGCAAGAGTACATAACAACGTGAGCAATACTGCTCCATTGCTGTTCTCGGGGTGCTGCTACAAAGCATTCATAGTGCTAGCAACACCGAAGGATAGCATATGTTGAGCGACCTCCATATACGAGGAGTTACATCACACCGCAGCCAATCTGATTGCAGCATGACTGTGGCTCCTCGGTCACTGCTGCTGCTGCTGCTGCTGCTGCTACTGCTACTGCTACTGCTGCTACTACTGCTACTACTACTACTACTACTAATTTATACATTCATTCATTCATTCATTCATTCATTCAGTCATTCATTCATTCACTCAAGTCACTCACTCACTCATTCATTCATTCCTTCGTTCGTGCGTTCGTCCATTCATTCATTCATTCATTCATTCATTCAGGGTGTGTGTTGATTTACTTTACTTTGTTACTGACTTTTGACCTTATACTATCTATCTATGCTGGAGGTCGTGAGAAATGCATACTGCCAGAAGCTACTGACGTGTGGAGAAAGCTACCTTTGCACTTATGCATATGTTATTACATGTATGTGTGTCTAGGAATCTAGGGCGTCAGTGGATCTTTTTAGCAGGTTTGTTCTAAGCTTTGGGTGGCTGTAAGGTTAGCCTTCCAGGGGGCCTCCCGTGCGAGACCGTTGCTTCCGAACCAGCAAAAAAGACACAAGTGACACCCGAAAAAAAGACACAAGTGACCCCCAAATTCTCAGACACAGGTGACCCCCCCCCCCCTTCCGCAGAGTGCCATCTCTAGCCAACGTTGTCAACATATCTAAAGTCTCACATCCCCTCCATTGCCTCGCCTGCCTAGGTGCCTCGCTTGCTAAGCCAAGGTACCACTTCTCCATCGGCCGAGAGCAAAGCGAAAGCATCGCCATGTCTCGGGAGGTTCATGGACCAAGCCCCGCTTGCACTGATCAAGGATCCGTAGCAAGAGACGATCTCCACATCCCTCACCGAGGCCGTGACCTTGTCCCCATTCTGCAGACCAGCCTCCTTGAGTGTGCTCCGGCCCCAGAGCTGCTGGCCTACTTCGGTGAACAAGTCCCGAATGCCAATTCCCAACTTCTGCTGGGCGCTGTGACGCAGATCCATCACCGTTCCTTCTCGGGACATTGAAATCGAGGCGGTCCGCCCACTGAGGAGCGTGACATCGATACGAACAATCTGCGCAGTGCCGAGCGCACTGCTTTCTGATAACATCAATGGGTGAAACAATGGCTCTCCGCTTCTACCTGTGGAGATGCCGAGAAGGCTCTTTTCGACAGTTCTGTAATGAGGCTCCAGGGTTTAGGGTTCTAGGGCTGGGGCTGGGCAAGCTAGGGTGTTCAAGCTGCAGTGAGGTCTCTGCACGGGTCTGTCTACAACATCTCATACAAAGCAGCAAGCCCGGCTGCGAGATTTCCAATCGTGGCAGCTGCTTCGCTGGACCCTTGCCCATGTGTCTCATGCTGCCGCAAACACGTGAAGCCGACTGCATCCCGTCCACGCATTCCACTCAGAGATCACACAGTCCTTGGCAGAGTGATATGCGAGGCGGCCTAATTGTAAGACTTGCAGCATGCCGAGAGTGCTGCAACCAAGCCTAGTGCTGTGCTTATCGATGGCTCATGTTGGCTCGGTTCCCAGCCCTGTCTGGGATGCAGTTTGGCTGTCCTGTACAGACCTCGCAAAGCTCTGAACGGGTCACCACGGCCGAAGAGCAACGCTCCTCCGTCGGCCTCGTACTGGTCTTCAAGGCCGAGGGCTGGTTTGCCACAGAAGTTGGGGTGACGATCCACGCTGCGATGGCGAGCCTACGGCAGGCTCGCTACGAACGTGGCTATTGCCTCTTCTCCCAAGGGTGAAAACTACTGCGCGCAAAGCTCTACGGCAACCCTGGCTTGCACGAACAGAAAGGGCACGGTAGCGGCTCAGTACCGGCAAGCACTGCAAGCACGGCACCTTGTAGGAGGATGCGCAGGTTGCAGAGCAGGCAGACCAGGACCCCCACTCGCTCCACCTGCCACATTACTCTGGACGGAAATCATTCCGCAACAGCAGCAGGTCGAATCAGCTCGTGCTCCATTTCCAACAGCCCGTTGGAAGATCAAGGCCAAGACAATAGGCAATCATCACGCACAGGGGTCGGGTTGGGTGCTGTGGACGGAAAGGACTGTCAACATTTCACTAGCGATTAGTGCAGCAACAAAAATCCGATGAGGCGCAAGTGTCCTATACACCTCCCGTTTACCCTCTGGAGATGCAAACTCCTGCAGGCCCTTTTTCAGCCATTTCCAGATGCCAGCGCCCGGAGCCCTGCGCCCGTTGCAGCAGGTCGCGCATCCAGCGCAGGCGCGTCTGGGCCCATTCAGCTGAGGACACTCAGGTCAGGGGTTGGTGTTGGCTAAGGGTTATATCCTATTATATTATATTGTACTATATTATATTTCATTTTCTTATATCATATTATATTATATTGTATTATGTTGTATTATATTGTATTGTATTATATCATCTTATCTTATCTTATATGAGGCTTGGAGGGAGACGAGTTGGAGTTGGCCTCCCAGGGAAGCTCAGGCGCGGCCCATGCTCGGTAGTCGTAGCGACCTCGCAGACTGGCAGCCAGAAAACGCGGAGCAAGGCATCAGATAATATAGTATAGTATAAAATACAAAATTATAAAACATAATAGAGTAGAATAGAATAGAATAGAATAGAATAGAATAGAATACAATATAATGTAACATAATATGATATAAGAAAACTACAATACAATATAATATACAGATGAAGGGCCATATCTGAAGTTCTCGCCAAATCTGAGGAAGCCAGGGTTGCAGAATGAGCCGACCAGCCACTTGTCGTAGACATTGTACTCGCCTGCACACTCTGGGAATGCCTCGACACTTGAATCTGCGGACCGTCGCCTACATGGCCGAAGGCAGGTAAGTATTCTGCCCGCACCCAGACAGCGTCATAGAGCTCTACCTGGCTAGGTTGTCAGGCTTCCACAGTCGAAGCGGCTGCAACTGACAGAAACAGCTTCATGTATCATGGCGTGAGAAACGACGCCTGCAGCAACTCATACCCGAAAGGCGCAAGCACCTCGACCATGCTGAGGTGCTTCGTTGGTGGCATTGGGTGGCCGAATTGATTCACAGCATGGTCGTGTCGGTTCGGGTCTGCACCGAGTCTACTCTGGCAAGCGATGGATTCAGGCCGACGAGCTCTGGTCGCGGGGTGTACACGAGCGGATCCTTCTCATCCTGAGTCATAGGAATCGCAACTCCCTGCTATCTGCAGGGCCTTCCGAGGACGGTGCGTACTCGCGCCAATAGGAGACAGGCGGAGGAAACATGGGGCCGATTTCAGTGTGTAGGACCTGCCGAGCAACGGCCCATGCTTCAGGGTTCGGTAGGAACGGACAGATAATGCCGCAACCCCACCTTGGGCCTCAGCCCTGACTCCAAGAGCCTGCGAAGAAGCTCGTCGTGAGGCATGCTGTCGACATCGATCTTGAGGAGGTCTACCTTGCAAAGGACTACTGTGACTACGGCTCCTAAAGCTCTTGCAAGATGCGCAATATGCTACTACATGCTGCTTCGGGCACCTCTCGCACCGGAAGATTCCTCAACACGACGTCTGCCACGGTGAGCGGAGTGACTGCTATCGCCCGGACTCCTGGTTTTGTCCCACAGTCAGCAGAGCCTCTCAACTTCGACTTGGCTGAAGGCTGCCGAGTCTCGAACATCGTTCAGCAACTGTTCATCATGAAGCCTGCTCTTTCAGCAGATACGTGTCTTCTGACATTCTAGGATTCTAGGGCCCGCCTGGCATGCATGAGTTCTGCCATCGAGGCATTGCCCTCAAGAAGCAGACCATGGAAGTGCTGCTCTTCGACCAGGCAGTTCGCCGGATCGTAGCACTCCTTCAAGAGAACAACCCTTCCCCAAGCTGCAGGACATGACTGGCCTGGCTGCCGCCACAAATCAGTACCACGACCACATTTCCCATCATATGCACCGAGATTGACAACCCAGCGTGATAGCTCTTGGTTGCTTTTCCACCTGTCAGGGAGTTTTCTGTGAGTCTTGGCCAGGGCCCCGCATCGCATCCGACCCTCTCAACCCTCTTCGCATTCAACATCTGCTTCTTTCAGTTTCTTTTCTGCTGATTCTTGGCTCAAAGAGCGAGCTTAGCCGGGTCGAGGAGCATCTCATACTGAGGACTCGGACTGCCCAAGTTGAGGCTTGAAACTCTTCCTCTGCTTCCCCCAAAGGACGCCTGATGCGCTTCAGGATGGATTCCATGGAGAGCTGCGGCACCCTCAATCCTGAATCAACAGACGTGCGGTCACTATGCCGGCCAGTCTTTCTTACCTAGTGGACAAAAGCCAAAGCACTCGAGCTACTTGACCATGATGCGACCCGAGGTGGGCAAAAGCACTGCGGTTGAGACTAGCTCCCCCACCGTTTGGCAACGCAAGAATGCCTTCTGGGGTAACCCCCGACTTGTTGCCGTATTTAGAAGCTGGAAGTGCTGCCAACACGAGCATGAGAACAGCACCCAACACAGCCAGCAGCACTAAAAACGGTTTGCAGATGTTTACAGCTCCTGCCTCGAAAATCGACGTTTGCCGGACCTTGGAGCTCTGCATTCGTCAGCGCGCCCAGCGAAAGCCTGGCGATTGTTTCATCGACGCCCAGAAACAACCCGCTAAGTTCAGCAAGGGTGCGTTTGTGGATCGCAAATCTGCGATGGAGACAGCTCGCGTGGAAGAAACACGGGTGACCTCTGCTCACTCCCGTTGGCTTCCCGCCTAACAGCATGTCTCCATATGGACTAGTATGAGCAAAACGCCAGTGGTATGCTTCAGTGCTTCAGGTGGCAGTACCGTCGAATGCGCAGCAGCAGGCAAAGGCAGGAACACCGCAGCCCGCACCGCTTCGACAATCCGTTCAAGAGCCTCAGAATTGAGAGAATATCCAAGCGGCACATGGAGTCGAAGCATAGAACCGCACCTTGCCTCCGGAACCAGCATGGCCGTGCAAAGCGACCTTTACCAGAGGCAAAACGTGACGCAAAAAAGCTGGCTCTCCGTCCTAGTTTCGAAGCCAGTTACCAGTGGCTATGGGCCACTCCGATGTTTGCAAGATCTTGCTTGCGATCGGCTTGGGCCACCACTCGTGGCCGCCCCGCTCTTCCACCCGCATTTCCGCAAGCGCCGCATCGGCGACGGAACAAAAGCTCCTCGGCTGGAAGTCGTCGGGCAGCTCAGCCCTGTGAAGCGATGATGGCATTTCCGTGGCGCAGGTGATTCTTGTGAGCCGGTGGACCTGGCTCACGATCTGACGCTCTCGTAACGTGGCCGAAGGACAGTACATAGTCCGCCGGCACCACATCAGGCGCGTAACAGTCCTCCAAATCTCCGACTCGCTTGGATTTGGGTGAGGGGATACTACAGTGGCCTGAAATTCGGCAGCACAGAGGCCGTAGCGAAGGGCATGCAGTGCCGTCAGCGCAGCATTTGCACGCGAGGCTGCCACCTAGCACCGAGAACATTTCTACATTTTGCTGCATATGATGCAAACAACTATCTCTTTGATTGCATAGTTCTTCTTCGACGGGTCTAGTTAGCTTCATGAGATGCATTTCTGCGAGTGTCCACGTGCACGATCAGACAGGCAGCTAGATAATTAGATTGTTGGTTAGTCAGATAGATAGCTAACTAGCTAGCCAGCTGGCCAGCTAGACAGATAGATAGATAAATAAATA